AAGTGTATAAATAAGTTTGTTAGACTTTAGGAAGACATTTATTTATCTAAAATGTAATCAGTTAATGGAGAATAAAGATTTCACTCAATGCCTTTAGCTTTCAGCTCCTCCTTGACTCTGCTCAGGTAGGTCTCATCAGGATATCCAAAACTGTGAAAGAACAAAATTGAAATGTTTAATACATGAAACTGAATATTAAAGCAAAGTAAAAGGATCAAATCAGATACCCGTACCACTGTGGTCCTCCTGTCGTGGATGTCTTGTGATGGATGTCATTCCAGATCACTGCTTTCTCCGCCCCAGTTGTCCTAGACTCTCCAACAGTGAAAATCAGCTTCTGGTCAAAGGCTTTTTTCAGCAGTCGCAGAACTTTATTCCCCTCTTTGTTGTTTGGAAGATATGCTGTTCTAGTAGTTCCTGCAAAGTACTGTCCAGGCTTGGGATGATTTTCCTGATAGAATGGAAACAATCTGGTAACTGATAGCCATTTCCAAATATATGTCAATTTTCTAATATAGGGTATATGAGGTGGTACTTTACCGTCTGTAATCCACCAGGGATATAGTAGCTGATCTCTATGTAGCCACAGCCTGGGAATCCAGGGAGGTCTGCATGGTAATGTTTTTTCCATTTCATTGTTCCATCAGGTTGGTTTCCCTTCACCACACCAAACACATCTTTGCATATAGGACAGATTGGTCCACTGTGCTGCACTGCCCTTTGCAGACACTCTTTGCAGAATGCATGCTTACACCTCAGCTGTTCCTTATTAGTAAATTGGGATAAACATATAAGACATGGGTCTTCTTTTCTCTCCAATAAAATATTTTCAATTGATGCTTTCATAAGATACTGTTTCTTAATTTTTATAGAAGTTCTGGAGTCTGCATTCTTCTGATAATCACTATGCTTTATTGCTCCAAAATTTGAATCTGTTAATGTCATGTTTCTTATCCTGGGTGATGTAACAACTGATACAGGTTTAAGATGATCAATGGGATGGTTTATCTTCTGCATTGCATTTAGGACTGCACTGAATTCATCTTGGCCTTTCTTTGGACCACAGACAATGACTTCTTCAGAGGACATAGAAAGCAAAAGCTTATCCTTGTTTTTCTTGATGACTCTCAGTGCATCGCTCCACTGATCTGGATCTACAAACTTGAGGGGAATCATTACGCTTCCTGATTCAGCTGAGCAGCTCTGATAGAGCTCTATGAACTCACAGAGAGCCTCATTGGGTCTTCCAGCTTCAAATGTCACATGGACCTGCGCTGTGATTTTACTTTTATTGTTCCTCTCAATATTTTTAATTTCTTCTTTGTAGATGTGGCTCATGTACCAAAAGGGATCCACTGGCAGAAGACAACTTTCTTGAGCTGCACCTCCAGGCTTTATAAGGGGATTTTTTTGTTTGACAGGGAGGACCATGTCCTGAAAAGGGAAACAATAAATAATAAATCAATCTTTCAATTCTAATGAATATATTATCTGACATCAATACAACTGGGAGCTCTTACCAAGATTCATTCTTCATTGACATAAAAAAGACAATTATGTTTTTATTTTATGCTTTTGTGTTCTCAAGGGACTGACAGTGTACTGTATCATTTCCCCAAACTAATTTACTACTAATAAAAAGTATTACCTCTGCCAAGGAGGATATGTTTTAGTCAAGTTTGTGTGTTTGTTTGTTTGCCTGTGTATAGGATAACTTGGAAAGTTAGAGATTTTAATGACATTTTTACAAAAGATGCACCTCAGTGCAAGGAACAATCCATTAAATTTTAAGTGATGACCCACATCATAATCTGTATACAGGATTTTTTTTTTTTTTTAAGGATTCTCTAACGTTGTGAGATAAGGATATTTAGCAGAACAAGCAGTTCCCCACTGAACAAGAGGGTGGCAGCACTGACTATCAACAGCCTCAGTAACGTCTGAAAAAGTCCAGATGTATTTTACTGAAGACAAAAGGGAACATTGTTAGTTTGTTAGCAGTATTAAGCACAACCTGGGTGCCAAAAACGTTGAAATTCGGTCGCTGGATCTCTTATTTGTTTGACAATGTGAATCATTGTATTTTGACTGAAAATTTATGGGGGAAACACTTTTTATTTTACTGTAGATATTCACAGAATAATCAATAACCGTTTTTGCTTTATCGTATTAACAAATGTGAATTTGAAACACAACTATTCATCAATATATATTAACAAATATTTGCTTAAACATATGGCTACACAAACTGTCCATGCTGTCTTTTAACCAGACAGTAATGTAGATGTATGTTGATAGTATAAAAATAATTAATTTGAATTTTAAATAGGTTTTGCATTGTTACAGTGCAGTGAGCAAAGATGCTGTGAAATGTGACATTGTTGGATTATAATTATTAATAAGATTAAGCATATATTAAATTTTACCTCCTTGTGCCTTTTCTCATCTTGGCCCATTAATGAAGTTCTGACATTCTTCTTTCTTCAAAAAACAGAAAACAAGATAAAAAACGATTATAAATATTGAGAATTGCTCTACTCTGCTCTACTACAAGAAACTACGAGCACCTCGATTGGTTCTCCTCCATAGACGGTCCTGCATCACCAAGACTTTTCATCATCATGCTGGAATTAGGGCACATGTCAACACTGACGTCTTTAGAACTAGCCGGCCGTTCAGAATCTTCCAAAGCCCATTTGGAATTCTGTGTTGCATTTAAAGTTGAACTGAGAAAACTTTTATAAAGCTGTGGCCCACAGACAGTCATTTCCTCAGAGGACATGGTGACTAAAAGCTTGCTGTCATTGTTATTAATGACTTTCAGTGCATCACCCCACTGATCAGGATCTACAAACTTCAGAGGAATAACTGAGGAAGAGGAATCAGACAAACACTTTTGGACGAGATCTGCAAACCTGTTGAGAGCCTCACTTGGATTCCCACCTTTATGTTCAGTGTTAAATGTCACAGTGACAGTTGGCATTATGCTAACTTTAGTTTCTTTCTCTATGCGTCTGATTTCATCTTTGTAGATCTGGCTCACATACCAGTAATGAGCCACTGGGACAACACATTCCATAGATTTCTTTCTATAATCTCGACGAGTATTTCCTCCTAGAGTAACTGGATCCATCTGTTCTTCCACCTGCATATTCACCTTAATAAAAAAGTAGAGGTTGAATAGAATATATATTTTCCTTCAAATCTATTGCATTTAGTTTAGAGTACATACCCTTGTCTGCTGTGGCACCAAAGGTTTGGAGCTTGTTAAAGCAGCTGGAGGAGCAGCATTTGCTGAAGCACCATCTGCAGTTTGTGCATCCATCTTCGGTGCTCCAAGACTGACTGAAACAATGGTGACTTCTGTCCCATCTTTCATTAATGTTTCACCCTGTAGTTTCTGAAGCTCAATTGAGGCTAGAAAATTTGAAAGACAAAATTAATTGATGTTTCAAAATCTGAAAANTGTAATATTAAGTGGAAACGCTTCACTTTTGGAGTAATTGATTTTGTAGCCAGAGACTGCACTGTATGCACCATTATTCTGAAGGAGTCTTGGCTGCATCCAGCAATACCAGACAATGCTATTAGCCTGGAAGGGCTAATACTATACAACGCAAATACAAACAAAGAGCTCTGCATCAATGGAAACTCCTCTGAGATGTTTCCCAGGCAATCTTCAGCATCTAACAAGGGAAGCACAGCCCCGCAGGGGAAAATGAGGAGAACACTCTAGATGCTTCCCTGCCAAATGCTGAAACATCCCCAGCCGGCTCCTCCCGCTTCCACACCTCCTCCAGCATCGTCTGTCGCTGCTAAACCTGCCGATGGCACCACTGCTGCTTCAACCACGTCAGCTTCTTCAACCCAGGGAGTTACCACCCTCACAGCATTGTCATCATCGTCCTCTTCCTCCCCTGAGCCAGGAGAAGCGAGTGCTTCAGGAGCGTGAGGCAGTAGTAGCAGCTCAACAACAACTGATGGGGTGAAGCCCAGGCAAAAGGCCCCTAATGCCCCAGCATCAGATCCACTTCCACCAGGGTAAAAATCCAATTTGGATACTAGAGCCTATCCAGATCCGTCTGACATCACTGCTGCCAATGCAAAAATGATTAATGCACATTCCATAACTAGATATAGTGATTTAATATCATAATGTTTTTTTTGTATCACTGCTGCTTACCTTATCAAGGCTGCACTTTTAAAAATGAAATTGTCTAGAGAGCTGTCCTAAACAACATTTTTTTTGTTTACACTTGTGTATACAAAATGACAAAATAAATCTGTCTAAGTCTAAATCTCCCTTAAAGTATTTTAAATCATAAACATATATACCATAACCAGAGAACAAATGTGTGGCTTTTGCACATGAAAACAAGGTCAGGTCTGAGATAATATATATCGCTGTACTGCTATTTTCAACTCACAGCTAAAGTAAGAGATAAAATTACACAGAATCATCGCCTTGCATATCATGGCTGTTGGTCTTCTATTTTTCTACTTTACATCTCAGTCAATTAGTTGTTTTCCACTGAGAAATATAATTTCCCCCAAATAAAGTGATCTACTTGGTGATGTTGGACTATTATTATTTTGAACAGAAAGGACGTTACTACCCTAAATAGACTAATCAGAGTATCTCTAAGCAGAGTAGAATCAGTAAAAGTTATAACATAATTTCACTGTATTAACTAAGAAACTATGGTAACTTATCAATACATAGATTGACTGACTTATGCGTAAAACATCTTGTGGTTTATAATTTTTGCTTCTGTAACTATTTCTTCATTATTTTCTTATTTAACAAATATTTTAATTCAATCTTCAAACCTGTTTTCAAGTAGTCAACCTTTGCAGGGACTGCAAAAGGGAAGTATCTTCAATGGATAAATGTATCCCACTTATCAGATGAGATTAAAGTAATTTTCTTATCTAATGTAATAAATAAATAATAAAAAAATGTCACATCGAATCTCCTTAAATGACATTTGATCAGTTTATTGTAAATTACACCCACGGTTTATAGAGTATATGTAAAGAAAAGTTAATCAAGGAAAAAACTCAGCAAATTCTTTCAAATTTCTGTAATTCATTTAGTTGCATTAAAGAAGATAAGATATGTATTTCAGCTTCCAGGGAACTTCAAACTAATCATTAAGATCTACTACAAAGGTTTTTCTTTTATGAGAACAAAGTTCATTTTTGGTGGGATTTTGTGAAGATATTCATAAATTTAAGATTTATTCACTTAATATAGAATAAAGATTTCACTCAATGCCTTTAGCTTTCAGCTCCTCTTTCACTCTGCTCAGGTAGGTCTCATCAGGATATCCATAACTGTGAAAACATAAAAAGTAAATGGATTAATGCGTGAAACTGAACACTCGGCCACAGGGATACACTGAGATCAAACCAGATAACCATACCGCTCTGGTCCTCCAAACATTGATGTCTTGTGATGGATGTCATTCCAGGTCACTGCGTTCTCCATCCCAGTTGTCCTAGAAGCTCCAATGGTGAAAATCAGCTTCTGGTCAAAGGCTTTTTTCAACAGGCGCAGAACTTCATTCCCCTCTATGTTATCTGGAAGGTATGCAGTTCTAGTGGTTCCCCAATATCGTTCTCCAGGGTTGGGGTGATTGTCCTACAAAGCAGAATGGAAAAAAACTGCTAACTTGCAGGCAGGTTACAAATGGGTAAAAAATTGCATTTTTTTGTGTTAATGTATTGAAACATGAACGACATTTACCTTTTGTTTTCCATCTGGGATACTGTAGGTAATCTCTATGTGGCCACAGCCTGGGAATCCAGGGAGGTCTATATATTTATGTTTTATGCATCTCATTGTTCCATCAGGTTGGTTTCCCTTCATTATGCCAAACACATCTTTGCATATAGGACAGATTGGTCCACTGTGCTTCTTTGCACTTTGCAGGCACTCTTGACAGAATTCATGCTTACACTTCAGCCGTTGCTTATTAGTAAATCCAGACATACATATCGGGCATTGGTCATCTTTGTTGTCATCGGTTGCGCCCCCTGTAGCCGATTCTTTGCTGTTCTGTGTTGAATGACCATTCATTCCAGCTCTGCTGGAAGCCTCTTCAGAACCACTGAGCCCAGTGGCACCATAAGGTGGAGGCTGGTTCATGGGTGACATCATAATCTTCTGGTACAGACGCAGCAGAGCTCTGACAGCATGGCTCTCCATGGCTGGGTTTCCTCCACGTGTCTTGTAGGATGCTTTGACATTAACTTTGCCCTCACTGATGGTGGATACTTTAAAGTCCACATTGAACTTAGCTTTGATTTTTGCAAGTTCTTTAGCATAGGAAGAGATCAAGCGTTTCCATGAGTTCTCAGCTATGGTTAGTCCTGTATCGGTCAGATGATCTTTGATTGTCATTTTGATTTTCAGGCAGAGCTCTTCATTGAAGTTTTGAGATCTAGCTGACCTAGATGGCTCTTCAACAGAGTTGAAATTCTCTGTTGCATTTAAAGTTGAACTAAGAACATTTTGACAATCCTGTGGCCCACAGACGGTCATTTCCTCAGAGGACATGGTGACTAAAAGCTTGTTGTTATTGTTATTAATGACTTTCAGTGCATCACCCCACCGATCAGGATCTACAAACTTCAGAGGAGTAACTGAGGAAGAGGAATCAGACAAACAATTTTGGACGAGATCTGCAAACCTGTTGAGAGCCTCACTTGGATTCCCACCTTCATGTTCTGTGTTAAATGTCACAGTGACAGTTGGCATCATGCTAACTTTTGTTTCTTTTACTATGCGTCTGATTTCATCTTTGTAAATCTGGCTCACATACCAGTAATGAGCCACTGGGACAACACATTCCTCAGATTTCATTCTATGGTCTCTAGGAGCATTTCCTCCCACTTCCATCTGTTCTTCTGTCTGCATCTCCACCTAAATAAAAAGTATAGCAGGTTGAATAGAATATATATTTTCCTGCAAATATATTGCATTTAGTGTAGAGTACATACCACTGTCTG